GTGAAAGTCTTTTTTAACTATAATAAAAAATACCGTTTATTCATGAAATTTGAAGAACTTTGATATTTCAGGGCTACACTTGTGATGTTCGGAGGGCCCTTCTCAAGTGGTGAGGTAATATAAATTTACAATTAACTTAATTCTGTGTTTGTTTGATTTAGAGATTCTTTTAGTGAAAACTTAGTAGGAGAAGAATTCTTTTGTTGATAGTATTTGAGCATTTTACGTTAAACCCAAAGAAGGTATTATAATCTTAATAATTTGTTTTTCATTTAAATACATTTTTTGTTAGCATAGTGCCTCTTAAGCTATCTTAATTCTCAGCCCTCTTTTTAGCCATCGATTAAATATAGAATAAAGCTATGAAGATCAATATTTTCTCATAAATAATTTATTTCGTTAGTATTTAATATACATCTGAAAAGTAGTAGTTTTAGAATGGGTTTCAAGTATAGAAAAATAAATGAAAGAAAACCACTTTTTTATGCGAGAGATGTTCTTGCTTTTAGCTGCAAATTAAACTGAGTCTCGATGAAATATTTGATACAGTTTGACGTAAAACTGCAAAATCAACTCTTCTTTGCTATCATACACACCTGCTTGAACGTTTATTTACCGACTATCGCTCAAACTAGAAGATCAATACAACAGTGGATAGGGTGTAGAAGACCCTTTTATTGAACACAATTATTTACAAACAGCACGAACTTACGTGCCTACACTGTCACCAACCACTTATGGTGAGGAACATAAAGGTAATGTTACAAGCTAAATTTAAAGGTAAACTAATACTTAAGACTAAACAATTTAATTTAACCTAACAGGTTGACTCAGAAACCTACACCGACGAGATACTAATTTCGGCGTCAAGAATGCGAAGCCGAGATTCAAAATTTAAACATACCATTTCATTTCAAAAACCGAATATTTGTACGATATAAATCGGCATTTTCATCATACTTCACACGGTCAGGCTTTTTATACTTTCGCTTCAGCTGCTGAAAAGGTACAAATACAAATTTTCGTTTATATTGCAGGAAGCGCTGACATCAGACATACTGATTAAAAACATACTCGTAATATAAAAAAGGATGCATGATCAGTGATAAAAAAATCAGGTAGCCAATGAACTCTATTTTTTTTTCATGCAGTTACAGTTAAAAATTTTAAATTATTCGTTCAATATTTCAATTATGGGTGAATCTTAATTATGCATTTTTCAGCATAAACTCCCAGTGTTCAGTTCTAACATAACACGCACACCCCCCCCAAAAAAAAAAGAAAGCTTTCAGATTTTACATTATCCCCAAAGGGGCATTTTTTTAATGTTTTGTGTGTTACCTTTATTCATTAAGTATCATGTCCTTCACAAGTAAACCATAAAATTCAGTTCAACAGCAATATCGCAAAATAATTTTAAAATTACCATATCTTTAGAATTTCCGATACACAGTCTCACGGGCTAGAGATAAAAATATTTTTTTTTTCATACAGCGTTGCCATTGCTCGCTTTGAAATCGTTGCTTTTGTTAATCAAAAATTACTTAAAGTGTTCCAAAATATGAAATCGATAATAAAACAATTTCCAAATTTGGGCTTCCAGATGCCCATATTCGGGTGGAAACGCACGTTTTTCAAAACTGGATGGCTCTAGATACCGTTGTTTTATCAGAATGCGAGAAACATATATACATTTATGCAGATTCTTCATTATTTAATTTCTGTAAATATAATATAGGGCGATAATATTTGGTGGCAACAATTTGAAAAGGGAACCGACATTTATTGCGAATCAAAGCAAAATACCAAAACGAAATTAATAGACCTTCTCGGCTACCTTTTGGACTAAAATAAAAAAATAGATTTACAATAAAAAATGTTTCACTCACTAACATTATAAATGTAAATTTAAACTCAATTAAAATATACCAAATAAACATTTAATATTTTATCAGTTAAACATAACTCTTATCTGCTTTTAGAAAGAGGCGTCGCCAATAATAGATAATAAAAAATCGTCTTGAAGACTAAGATGAGTAAATAACGACCACGACTTGCGCAGTGTCTTCTAGGCATTAAAGCCTTTAACGCTTTAAAAAGAATCAATGCAGCATGTATATATTGGAATGCAACATTCGGTAAATGCAACGCAAATATGTGCAACCTTTTTTTACGAGTTTTGTACATATAAGGATAATTTTAGTGAAATTATATGTGAAATTGTTGTGTTTTCCTATATCAGGTAACATGAAAATCTAGACGCAGGATGCTCTGCCGGAAAAATAGGAATACAGGGCCAAGTCGTTTTCTGAGTAAACGGCTCTCTGGCTAAATTGGCGAAATATCGCCAAGCAGGCAACGGTTTTAATGACTAATTTGGCAAGAAATCTCGAAAAGTTACCAAACTGGAGGCCGTTTGGTGACCTTTGGGTCCGATCCCTGTATCACTATAATAGGTAGCGTAATTGAATAAATGCAATTGGCTACTATATTAGTTGTAACCACATCTAACTCTCATAGCCTCCTAGTATTTTTGATAAGCAGAAAGTGCTAGAAATTTCTCGGTGCCCGGGTGAAAAACTATATAATGTCGGAGAGAGCATCTGCCCTCGGGAGTTGTTGTCAGTTCAGAGCGACTTCGGAATACTGAAAGCTTCGCCTTTTAGATGCACTTTGCTTGCGTTGTGTTTAACGTTGTAGTCACTTGGTATTTACGAAGGAGGAGCCATGAGAAAATGTACAATGCCCTCACCGGGACTCTAACCTTGACCTCTCGAATACGCTCCGAGTGTGCTACCGTTACACCACGAAGACATGAAGAAAGGAGGGAGAAAATACATTATATATTCCCCTGTTTAAGGGGCGACTGGGGATTAAAGGCCCGATCGCCAAATCCTGGTGGTGAAGAAACATCATCCACCAGCTTTTAGTTCGGGCGCCACTGTTGGATCATTAGGTTATTTCCATGCAGGATGGGTGAAAAATGAGCAATGCCCTTCCTGGGATTCGAACCTAGAGCTCTCGTATACGCGCCGAGTGTGCTACTGCTACGCAATGAAGACATGTAGAAAGGAGGGAGAACATACCTTATAACGTTCTTATTAAGTTGAAATGTAACTATTGATTGTACTCCGTGTTACTGTGAACACCTGTACGAGTATTTCTGTGGAAAGTTCCAGAACTCTGAAGTTTTTTTTTTTTTTTTTTTTTTTTTTATAAAATAAATTTTATCAACCTATCCTTGGACCTGTGCGCGTTGAATTTACTACGAACCCGTAAGCACGCAGCAGTATGTTGAAATAGGAAGTCCGTGTTGCTAATAAATAACAGAACAGTATAACTATTATAACCTGCTAAGAGAGCCTGGGTAGTAAATAAAACAGAAGGAACAAAACGCTTGTCTTCCAAATATACTTCTAATTATGGAAGAATAAAACTGTACCTCTTCCCTAAAACAGCCACTTATGGAAGTAGCAAGTGTTTCGGAAAATAGAAATAACAACGTTACTAAACATAGTATTCCTAAGATGATAACCCCTAGGTATTCCAAAATCATCTAAAACTGCAGCATCATCTCAGAAAAGATTCACTCTATTTTATGTCTAAAAATTCCTTTATCTTTAATGAAATTTTAGCTCTGAAAAAGAGATTTTTAATTATTCATAATAATGAAAATTCAGTTTATTATTTAAATTTCAATACATCTTACTGTAGTCCCATGAGGATGTAAATAAATTTATTACTTAGATTATTTGTTTAAATAGCATTTTCCTTCCTAATTAAATGATTATTTTGTATTCGTAAAATGTATTAAAGGATTATGGTGTTATTTACATGTTATACTGTAATAAGCATATTGTTATTCCATTACAAAAAGTAATTTTTACATTTTATTAAAATAAGATATCTCATGTGAAAGCAAATATTTTCTGTACACGATATTTTTCTCAATTGGAATGGTATTGAAATGCTTATTTAATTTAAAATTAAATATGTTTTATGTGACATCGTTCTATTTTCTAAATTGTTGTTAGATGTCTGATTTCATGTGACAGTAAACATTTGCTACGTACGATATTTTTAAACTGTAGATATATCCGAGAGCTATGAATTTTGCCTCAAATCAGAAAATTCTTTTCTAAAAAGCCTAGTTAAAATCACATATGGTCGAAAATTATTATGTTTCAGAGAAAAAGCTCATTATGTTATTTGACTACATTGTAAATTTCATCATATTACTTTATTATTTCGAAAAATACTAAGCTTACAATATACACTTGAAATTTAATTTTTCTTCAGTTATTTAAAATTTACAATCACATAAATAAACTGATTGAGAATTCCCATAAACCTGTCTTTACTTATACTGCACACTTAAGTGCACTTCAGCTCTAAATAAACGGAGCAAAATCGATTAATAAATTTGTTAAAAAAGCGTAAATTTATTCTTTAACGCATTTACATTTGGAAATTTTGTTTCTCAAAATTTCAATTCGATATCTAATCCATAAAATAACCTCTTTAGTTATTAATTAAGGAATGATAAAATGCATTATGAAGAAATAATTTAACAGTTTTAAATATATAATTCATTCAAGAAATTATTATATCTTGCTTTAAGTGATTTAGAAAGATTTGATTTCCATTCATATCATAAAAACATGAAACTGCTGGCGTAACTATGGCAACAGAAGGAAAGACAGGGATCCTAATAAGAAAAACTGAATTCGCTCCTAAAAATTTAAAACCACAAGCATTTCAAATAAATCAGCATTAAGAGATACATTTCTTGTACATTTCAATTTTACTTACTACATGCATTAATGCGTTAAAAAAGAGCGCTGTCAGGTTTAAATTCCATATCGTTGAAATGTTTTATAAATCTTCAATCTACGTTAATCATCGTTAGAGGTACTGCAATTAATCGATAGTAACTATCATTTATAACGTCACGTGAATTACATTAAACTCCGAGAGTATGGCATACAAATAATTTTCGCTGGAATTGTAATTCAAGATAACAAATGAACTTCTGTAAATTTGCAGAAATTTTATAAAGGTAAATATATTTTATAATATTAGACTTCAAAGTATTTAAATAGAAGTTTTTTATGAATAAAAGTATGTTTTATACTGATTGATAAATAAAAAGTTGCGTGAATGATTTATTTTAGTATTTACTGGCTAGATTAACGTATGAATTTTCTTAAATTGCATAACGTATTATTTTTTGTATTTCATGGGCGCTTATTTTCTGCTTTTTTGCAGTTGCAAAATTGATTAAAAAGAAAGCCCTTAAAATGAGAAGACAACGATACTCTTATACTTTAACCACTCGAGATGATATGGTCGTGCCACCAGACCCAGATGAGTCAAGCATTCTGTCTAATCAGTATTCGTTTCAAGATCCTTTTCTGTCTCAAATTCTATCACCCGAACCAGATTCTGTTGTTCCGTATTACTTGTATCCATACCCTTTATTCCCAGTACCTGCAGATCAGTACCAAAGCGTAGCAAGCTTGTACAATTCTAATTTATCTCTAAGTCCATATGATAATTATGCTTATTTCAACGGTGGGTTCCCACAATATGATTATGTGAGCTCAACTCGAATTTTTGATGGAGGTTATGGTGATCAGTTGACACCGAAAGATGAATATGTTGATGAAGAATTTGTATATGATGGTTTAGAAGATTTTCCGCAGGAGCTTCCATCTTCTCATCCGATAGTTACAAATTATGGGGCAGTAACAATACTTTTGAGGCATTTAGTGAGAATTGATATTTCAGCTGACAAAGCATTGTATGTGACGAACCCTCCTTCTGGTAGCATTGCTGCTTTCAATGGAACAACTGATAAAAGTTGCATCATTCATCCCAACGGTCGTGTATTACAGGAAGGTTCTGATATTCATATCAGCACTTTAAATAGGCAAGCTAAAGTTTGCAGAAAAGGGATAATATTTACTTCTAGTGATCATTGCTTATCGTACTTAGTGGATGCTTCAGGTACCAAAACTACAGCTGAGAAATTTAGGGACTTGAGCACTGATTTCAGCGTTGAAGTGTTTTATAGCGATCTTCTCTCTCATAATCCTATAGATGAGTGCTACAAAATAGCAACAGAATCTCTTCATAAGTGCTATAAAAATGGTGATGAAGTCTGGATTGTGGGCGGATTTCGCATTAAACAAGATCAATGGGGAGATGTGAAAGTGTCTCATAATTACGGTCGTCTAGTACTCAAGGCATCTCCCACGAATGGTCAAATGTCAATTAAAACTCCTTCAGTAGAGATGCGTGTCAGCCGTTATCCAAATAATTATCTTCTTGTGCGGAGGTATGAACAAGAAGTGACTGCCAGTTTGCGAGGTTTTATAGCTCAGAATGGAACTCAAAAAGCTGGCTTTAATAGTTATGGTCGTGTTGTTCTCTTTTGATACATGTTTATTATGATCTTGTCCACTTAGATAATTCAAATAAATGCAAGTAAAAGGCAAAAGCTTAAATATGCAGCTAAAATATTCCAAGATAAAAGGCCTTATTTAAAAACTACTTAAGATACCGGGAATCACATGTATCCCTTTGAGAATATTCTGTTCCTTAGGCGACAGAGGCAAGTTTTGACCTCGCGTTTAAATAATTATTGCATTTAAGAAAAGAAGCCCAATGTTAGTTTAACACATATACTAATTACTGTTGTGTAAATATCTTTTGGTATGATCAAACTAAACACTTCTAATGGCTTGTAAAATTTAATGTACCCAATGCAAATTTAGTTAAATATAGTTGAAGAAATATAGATCCAATCATGTGAAATGCTCAAATAGATTTGATTTTATAAAATGCAGAAAATATATATCAATCCATGAAGAAATCGAGTAAAGCATTAAAATCAAAAATACAGATTTAACACCTGGAACTTAATCCTTTGCCTCACATCTGTATATCTGTAATTGAACCATTGCAATTATTTAAACTTTGCGCAAAGGTCTGACAGTTTCTTTTTTTTTTTTTTTTTTTCTTTTTTTTTTTTTTTTTTTTTTTTTTTTTTTTTTTTTTTTTTGTTTTTTTTGTTTTTTTTTTTTTTTTTTTTTTTGTTTTTTTTTTTTTTTTTTTAGTTATTTTTTTTTTTTTTTTTTTTTTGGCAAAATAAACTAAATTCCCTATAATAGATATACAGGTATTTTGGTTTTTTGATTCCTACCATTCAGTTAATATACCTCTTTTTTATCGCGCATTTTAAAGTTTAATTCACCTTGAATGACATTTTAATTAATATTATTGCTATAGATTTATTTTTGCATTTATAGTATTTACAAACATATCCTGTTGAATAAGTGTTAAGTAATGTATAATGTTTATTTTATATTACTTTGTTATTTGCATTGTATAATTTAACATTGGATTTAATTTCTGAACTATTTAAAGTTGAAATTTCATAATGGGTTTATAATATTATAATATTATTAAATTACACAATATATTTATAAAACATAATCAGAAAATACATTTATTTATTTTATAATTTATACTGTTATTCTATTTCGAACGCAGAAACTATTATGGTAGACCAAAAAAGTTTCCATCTTTGATAACGAAATGAGTTTCTGTTAGTCTTAAATGATAATTTTCCAGTCATCTTTCTAGTTTTTTTTAACCCTTAGATGTAAAATCAACTTGAAATTTCCATCACTGGATGCTGCTTTAAATGCAAATAATCCATTTAGTTATCGTTTCCTTCAAAACTATTATTGTATAATACAAAAAATATTAAGATGTGAATCAGAAAAAGAAAATTTGGCTGCACAAATGAAATATTTTTTAAATCATTTTAACATATTCCCCCATTATTCTACAGAACATAAATTACGTTTTCATATGATTATATTTCCATTTTTGCATTTCTCCTGTAAGGTATCATCAGTTTTTGAAGTTTTTTCATTTATTTTCTTTGCAAATATCAAATAGTTGGTGTATTTATTTTTATTTATGCATTACTGCGGTGTTTACTGTGTTATGTTAGCGTTAAAATATAGCTCTGAAAAGACGCAAAATAAAAACTTTTGCATGTCAGAAAACATGTTTTGTTTATCTTTAAATATTTTATCGCAGACATACTTACCCTCTACTACAGATATACAAAGTGTTTATACATTTTAAAACAATTTCAGAACCACTTAAATGATGTTTAAAATATAAATTGCATTTTTTAAATGTTTGATTTGATGGCCTTTTCCCTGTACTATTAGTCTGCATCGTGAGTTTCATGATAGAAGGGCTTCTCATAAAATTTCCAGGGGTATTGGTTTCCATTCCTCTCCCACTACTTTACAAATTCCATCAGTCGTAGTTGGTTTGCGCCTTATAAAGAACTCTTTTCAAGAGTCTAAAGGCTCAGTAGTCCGTAAGTTAACGTCGGGGAACTTTGCAGGAATATATTGAAAAGATATATATGAAATACCTGTACCAGCCTTCATTTTTTCAACCAATGCTGTGGTACGTTTTGAGGTAGGATTTGTTACTTTGTCTTGATAAAATTTCACTGTTTGAAAGTCATTAGAAAGTGAAATCTCTTCTATATATATCGGCTGTAAAACGCTCTCTTCATAGTACGCTGAGTTGATTTTAACAATTTTTCCACTCATCTGATGTTTTATTTTCCATCGTAAGGGAACTACGACAATCATAAACTCCTTACTGAAACGTTTTGCATTGATGGAAACAAGTTTGTACATTTTTGTTCTCTTTGTTTTCGAAAATAAGTAGACTTTTTTATTGGGTCATTTAGGTAAAACCATGCTTCCTCAAGGATCAAAATTTATTTCTAATTATCTTCTGCTAAATAGCTTTTCATACAGAGTTCTAAAAATTATTCTATGAGTTATTATGAGTTGAACTACATGCCTCGACAAAAGTTGGTGAACGTCATTTCTTTAGCTTTTTTTGAAGTTGTAAATCTTGGTTTAATAATCTGTTACTGTTACAGATATATTTAAAGATTTTACAATTGATTTCTATGTCGTCGGATTTTTTTTTCTTTTTGGTTATCAATGGTTTAATTTTAGAAACGATGCCTTTTTCGGGAATTTGTGTGGAATCTTTTTTCCATGTAGAAGTAAGCATTAGCGATTTTTTTCTTCCCGATTAATAATGTTGCTTACATAGAAATTTTGATGCCATGCATTTCACGGCGTTTTTGAATTATGATTTAGGAATATTTCTCTTCGGAAAGAAGAATGAATTATAAAATATTTAAAATATCCCCCTTATTCAGATAGCATTGCTCATTTTAAATAATAAGCTGCTGCCAGAAATGTTTATTAGAAATCATTTGCCTTTTTAATTCTCTGTCAAAATTGTTCTAAAATGTGTATACACTCTCTGTTTATAAGAAGGCAGTTCATTCAATTCCTGCGGTACATTTTTTAAAGCTTGGGAATGATTAAATATTAATCTTTGCACTGAAACTTCAAGGTAGCTGCAACATAATGAGTATACACTTAGTCGAATATCAGCACTACTCTTCGAAGCAGTGTTGAGGATTGGAGCTTTGAGAAGTGCATCACTTGTAATATTTTTTAATGCAACAGAAAGTCTGGAACTTTTCATCTTTTAAGACGCTATCAATCTAGGAAAGAAGAAAACGTTTAAAGGAACAACATGAAGAGATTACTTGGGCTAGAATTTTGAGTTTCTACAGAATCAAATGGCCGGACATTTTCTGGTTAACTTTCATTGGTATTCACTGAATATAATCCGTTATTTAACAGTCTCTTCACTGCGAATTTAGCACATATGGGGCGATCCATATTTCACTGGGATAGAACGCATGGATCGCTGGAAACATCATATTTTTCCGGGATTTAATCCCTGACAGAAAAGTTACCGGTCAGGACTGCTTGATCAAGCTGCTGTGACATACTGATCCAAAAGTATTATAAAGTGTATTATAAAGTATTATTTTTGTATTATAAAGTGATACTTTCACACAATATTTAGATACATTTTGCTAAACTTTACATGAAAACGAATAAAAGATTTACATATTAACAAAAGCTATTTATAACTACATTAAACTTTCTAATGCGAAGATGCAATTGTTTTTATGCGGTAATACTTCATCATACTGGAGTTCGAAATGAGTACTTCCTACCATTAAAGTTATTTCCAAATGGTCATCTTTTAATAATGATCTAAACTGTTGTTTTACATACCTCATTTCCAAACATTCCTTTTAGCATCGGTAAGTACGGATATCCAAATACGGATATCCATCTCCGTGTATATGATATTAATTGAACGTACTTTTATTTCGAATCATATTTATAAAATTGAACTGGATCTTTCCCTTTAACATATTATCATATTGCAAATTAATCACTTCTAATTGATGGATCTCCTCAAACATACAATCAAATGGATTTTGAAACATGGAAATACCTTTTCACCTTGCATCAAGATATACAAAATGCTATTGGAACTGTAGTATCAGTTCATAAAATATATTCTGCGCTGACGTTTATGTGAATGGGTATTTTTCTTATATTCGAAATGTTTTACAACATTTAAAATCCTGAAATTTGTTTCATGTTATTTGCGTTTCAAGCAATGCAAATTTTCGGGGATATGCTTTTACGATATAATACATTTCACTTATAAGTGATTGGGTATTGTTTTCCCACGTAATTTTAAACTGAATTCGTTGAGGATCGAATTGTGGATCGATTTGCCAGGACGTTGTGGCAAATGATATTTTCCATAGCCATTCGGTATATGATAATAAAAGTTGTGAGCAATTTTCTCATTTAAAACAATTCTATGACTTCTCTCAGTTCAAAGAATCTCAACAAGAGTTTCCCATAACTAAGGTAATCAATAGCTGTATAATTAAGACGTTTCAGCATATTCAGCTTCAGTCTTTAATAAAAATTCACAAAACTGGAGATAGTTAAGTCTAGTAGAGCGAATGAAATTTACTACTGGTAAAAATGGTTGAATAACACATGACAGATTGGTGTTTTTCTCCCAAAGAGCTTGCTCGGGAAAAATGCAATGAATTTAGAGGTTTTAAACATTTAGCATCTTCACAAACCATAACAATTTATACAACTAATCTTTTCCTAGTTCTACATATATTTTTCCCCATTAGTTATGACAAATGTTAACAGATTCCACTGCAAATTGTTGCAAATTGGATTGTCTTAGAGTTTTCTCGACTTCCTTGATGATATCTTCATTCGTAGGTTTTCCAAGCAGAGTGTTCACAGTAGCTAATTGTTCACTCTATTCAAATTCAGCATTCCACCTCAAATAAACACCAGCAATTCGGCAATACCAGTGATATCTGTCGACTCACTAAGAGCCAACGAAAACCATTTAAAAGTTTTTGCCTTTCTTTTAAATTAACTCTTAATATGCCTCACGGTGTCCTCAAGTCAGCAGTTGTTCTCGCCGAAAGACTGACTGAACGAGACATACACTTTTTCTGGGCACATTTTTTCGTCTGCCACAAATAAACGTGATTTAATTAATTATCGGTAAACGGTTTTCCTATCGTGGTTAATAAAACAGCTATTCGTAAGCTGACTTTAATTACTGTTTCTTTAACATTTTTTTTTTATTTTTACGGATTGCGCTGTTATAAGGCCTTCAGATTTAATTTTAAAGTTTTAATGATCGTTCATTTTCTCTGAAATTTGAATACAGCGTCGTGTGCTTAGTTTGGTAAGGACGGCGTATATTGTTGTGCGCTTTTCGAACAGCTACAATGTTACTGCGTATTAAACATAAAATTTTGTCATTTAATTCTATGATAAAATAATTGGCATTCCATTCTGATTTAGAAGCACGACATTGTAGGTCTACTTTTCTCTTCTTATTTGATTTTGAGAAGGACATGCTAATGAATAAAATAAAATAACAATTTTAAAAAAAGATCTGAAAGCTTTCAGATTTTAAATTAGGCGCAGTCTTGCGCGCTGGAGATATTTTTTTTCCCATACAGTTTTGCCATTGCTTTGAAATTGTTGAGTTTGCTATTTAAAAATTCGTTAAAGT